GTGGAGGCACAGGTACACATCTTTTTCTAATTCGATTTTCTTTTGAGGATGAAAAGTGAGCTTATCATCATCATTCTTCCTCGCTATAAATTCTGAAACCACGCTCTGGCGTGACAGAGGCAAGTTGGACGTTTGTATTATTCAATTTTTCTTCCATAACCTGCTTCAGAACTTTGAGCGACAAGGTCTCGGCTTGCTGTAAGGTGAGAGACTGTGGAAGTCATTGTTATCAGAACAAAAGTCTATGATGTAAACAACATAAATAATTATGAAAGAAAATAAAAAATACTTTACTTTGTGATACTCTTCTTGCAATTCAGTTTGCGCACCCTCGGATCCTGAGCCGATGGCCTTTGCATCATATTGCATGAAAGTTCCGGAGGGGTCCGCGTGGAACCTGTTTTTCAAAAGACTCGACTCGATAAATCCCATAATGGTAAAAGTTAATTAATGCGAAAGTTAATCTCTTACAGTTGAGGTCCCTTCTCATCGACACCGGCAATCAATAATGCAACGCCGAAAGGTCGACTCTACAAATTTCGAATGAATTTGGGTTGACAAATTAGAGGAAAGCCCATGAATGAATCGTATCTTTAAGACTATGACCAAACTTGCCATTATGGATTCTTCACCTGAGGGACGCTTATTTCAGGTCGAGTATGCCATTGAGGCTATAAAAGTAAGTTTTTTGAGCCAAGCAAGAATCCATTCCACATTATACGCTTTCTTTAACTAACCATCCTCGTGAAACCAGTTGGGTTCTACTGCGGTAGGTATTCAAACTTCCGAAGGTGTTACCCTCGCAGTTGAAAAGCGTGTCACCTCTCCGCTACTGGTGTCAAGTAGTATTGAGAAGATCATGGAGATTGATACGCATTTGGGTTGCGCCATGAGCGGGTTGACCGCCGACTCTAGAACGATGATAGATCACGCTAGAGTGGAGGCACAGGTACACATCTTTTTCTAATTCGATTTTCTTTTGAGGATGAAAAGTGAGCTTATCATCATCATTCT